AACAAAGAAATTCCAGCCACTCTCTCCAAAATAGTCCCTGGTCCAGTCCTGTTGTGGCTGGTATTCAGAATATGAAATTTCCTTGTAGGAAATATCAACTCAGGAAAGCAGAGGTGAAGATATGTCAAGTAAATCCTCAGTGGAAGCATTTATCACCACTGGCAGCTGATAAACCACATATTCACATACTTCACCCCACACACCAAGTCCTCACATACACACACAAATCAAAGCTCAACCAAAAAAAGTTAAATATGTTAATCACATTGAAAAATTTCAAGCTGAGCCTTTTCCTTCTTTAGAGTCTTTATTTCTTGGAATATATTTAATCAGATGTAAAATCAAACATTTGAAGTAAAGATTGAACAGTTTCTCACTAGTAATCCTCAACACCATCAAAATAAGGAAACATTATTGATACTTACTACAGACTGTACGTAGGACATACTGTATCTTAGCTGCGATTTATCCGACAAACAGACCCGAATTACAAAATCATGTTTAAAAAAAGTCTTTTACTCCTATAATTTCCTGGATTTTTGAGCTGGTGCAAAAGAAAGTATCTTAGGTGAAGCAATATCCTGTATTTCTGTCACATACATGTGGATGTAATCTTGAAAATAAAAAGATCTGTACATGGGGGGGGGCAGTATTTGTCTTCTCCACCGGTGACAAGTTCATACCAACATTAAAATGGAAGACTCTGGCTATTTACAAATCGCTGAGATGTTGTACTGTGTACAATTTCTCTCAGATATGCTGTAAATTACTTGTGTGTATTAGTTAGACTAAAACACTCCCACACCATATGTCAAAGTGCAATTCCATAGACCACCACAAGGCAGTGCTTACACACCATATTCAACATTATTTAGAAAGGCGCTACAAATTTGAAACAACCTAAAGCCCCTATACACCTGTGGTCCACCCACATTATCACTGATTTTGCCAGATCAGGGCATGAGCTGTGCTTGTTGTTGCTCCTTGTCCAGAACACTAGTGTGGGAGTGTAGGGCCTCTGAAAGATAAGACTGGCAATATTCTATTTTTTTTTTTTCACTGCCAACAAATCCCTTGTAAAGACCAAAATCAGCACGGGCACTTTAAGTTTATTTTCCATTCAGATAGGATGTTCTGGTGCCATGAATACTCACTAGAGCACCGTATGTATCAATCACAGCTAAAAATAGTCCCTAACAAATGCATAGTTTATTCTTGTTTGAGTAGTGTTTGCTAAAAACGACAGCACCCTGGTAGTTATTTAGCCTTTCTAAAACTGAAACTACAGATTTCTGATATTTGTCTTATTAAACATTTTTGTTTTCAGTGAGAGACTGGCGACCTGTCCAGCTTGTACCCTGACCCTGTGACCCTCTTCAGGTTAAGCGGTATAGATAATGGATGGATGCATATTTTATCTAGGACAGTGCATGTTCTCCCTGTGCCATTGTTAGGGTTGCCATGTCTATCTGCCAGTAATCTGAATTTTTTCAGTCCAGCAGTCACAAACAGACAGAGGTGCAGTCACAATTCAGACAACTCTGACCTTTCATCCATCCATCCATCCATCCATTTCCTCCACTTATCCGGGACCAGGTCGCGGGGGCAGCAGTCTAAGCAAAGATGCCCAGACTTCCCTCTCTCCAGACACTTCCTCCAGCTCCTCCGGGGGAATGCC